CTCTCTTTTTAGTGTAAATAAGTTCGATACAGAATGGAAGTATCTCTTTTTTTTATACAGTAGCATAGTTAATTCGTTCTCGCCTTTTTTTTCTTTTCCCTTTTTGTTTTTACGTTTTCATTTCGAGTAGAAGCCAAGCAATCTCATTTCTTCACCTAATTCCAGGGGAACGCGAACCTCCCTTTTTCAAGGACAACTGTGTAATTTTATCGATGATGAATACACGTCCACTCGTGGATACTGAAAGGAAAAAAAAAAAAAAAAGAGGGCTATATGAGGAAAATAGTAATCGAAAATAATCGTCCATATCTATATATTCGAATTCGTTGTACATTGAAAAATGTTTGTCCTCGTTGGATGTTCGTTGTACGCGCTCTCCGTGCATGGAGAAACGATCCTTCTCTTTTCGCGGGAAAGACATACACAAACTGCGAAAACTTGTGTTTTTCCTTCTTCGCTCTGTTCACGATGATGAAAAGAACGTAACTTCTCTTCGCTCGGAATCCGGGGTACAGAATTTCTCTGCGCGGACCGGTGTATTTGACCCTAGATCCAGTCAATCAAGTATGTCCCATGTGTCCGCTTTTCTGTACTTATTACTTTTTTCTTTTTTTTTTTTTTTTTTTTTTTTTTTGTAATTATAACAATTGTTTCTTATTCACACACACAAAGGAAATCACGCGAAGGAAATCAAGTGTGTCGTATACATGTTTCATAACGATTCCCAATGGAAAGAAGATTAGTATTATTACTCGAACGTAATTTTGTCTATATTTTCTACGTTTCTTAATGTTGTTTTTACATGCGTACAAAACGTCCCTTTAGAAGTACCACCGTATCCGATGTATAAGAGATTCCTGAGCTAACAGTGCTAATAGTTCGTAATGTCTTTAACGATTATCCTTAAGTTTTTCTTTTTTCTCTTTTTCCTCTGTTTCTTTCTTTCTTTCCTTTCTTTTTAAATTATTGACGATCGATGTTGTATAATACGACATGCTCTAATCATATGGTACTTGTACTAACGTTATATCTCCGTACGAGTATTTTGTACGATTTTTTATACGACTTTGTACGATCGAACGCAACGTCTGCAAAAGAATTGACGA